AAAGTCTCTCTATTTTACTAGTTCACATATTTAAGTTGTGCTATTATGAGAAGCTAAATTATAGCTTGAAATATTTAACTAATAAGACTATGCACATACCATAAGAATATAATGTATTATTTCAAGTACAATATTTACAAGGTAATTATAATGATGCCAAAGCCTGGTCTGTGACACCATAAGAATGACTCATCTGAAACTCCAGGAACATCAATTTGCAGTATGTCTATATATAGAATTAATTGCAACAAAATTTAGAAAACAATATAATAGAATATTTTAGCTACAGAAATTATTATTTTTTTCACGTTAACAAATATTGCAGAATCTGTAGACATGTCTACGCTTAGTACAGTGGCAACTTATTACTTTTACCCTCAAGGTTATTAGCACTAAATCCTAAAATGTACCTTACATTTTCTAGATTAGGTGTATTGTGCTGAAAAACATATCAAATATTTTTCCCACAAACCCAGGAGGAAAGGTTGACAGTTTAAATGGATGGTCCATCCTCATTTCAAATTCCTGAATCATTTCCAAATGGTCTGGGTGTCTTCTACCTCATAAGCTGATTTCATGGTCATGGAGCACTTAGCCAAAAGGAAGGGGTAAAACTAAAAATCACAACTGTTACCATTTTAAATATAGTTTATTCTGGGGAGCATTTTTCTCCACATGCCACCATGTTCAACTGTCACAATATACGGCAAAATTCAGTGGTTTAAAATATCATGAAGTTTTTTGTTAGCCTCACATTGGTTAACATTTTCCTCCTTTACTTTCAACTGCATTTTCCTTTCTCACAGTTCTAAATAGCAATTCTATGACTGTCTTGCACATTTTGCACGACATAACAGCATTTCTGTAGTGGTTGTAGTGGGATTACTCAAAAATGAAAAGTAATCATAAATGTAATATAGTATCTCTAAATGATTGGGAATAGAAGCAATTCCCTTTATACTGTAAAAGTACATGTATACACTTGAGTACAGCATAAATACACATTTTCAATGTATAATTTGTTCGATATGTACACAAATGTATACATGGGCAAATACTCCAGATTGTGAAAAGTTAAAGTAAGGATGATAAGCTCCAAAATGAGCATGTCACTTAGAAAATCAAACATGACCGTTTACCCAGAACCAAAGTCTAGTGAACCATCAGATTGTTTTATGACGGGAAGAAGTTGTCAAATGTAAATAGGTCACTTTTTTTTTTCTTTAACATTTTCATTTATACATCCACAAAAAGCAAACTGGGGCCAAGAAAATTAATTCCCAAAAGCTGTCAGCTGGGTTGGGAAACAGCAGTAAACAGCTTACTGTAAAGCCTCCAGCTACAATAAGTGGCTGTCAATAACTGAGCTAAGAGTTGGACTGTGGAAAAACAGGTCCTCTGGAAACGATCACCTGAAAGGGGAAGGAGCTGAAATTACTTGTTCCAATACGCTGAGGCAGTGGTTCTCAAAGTGTGTTCCTTAAACTCGCAGCAGCAACATCCCCTAGGGTCTTGCCAGCAAAGTAAATTTTCAGGCTGGGCCCAGTGGTACTGAACCAGAGCCCCTGGGAGTGGGGTGGCGCCCCGCAACCACTTGTAAGAAACCCTCCAGGTGATTCTGAGAAATCCTAACATTTGAGAACTTAATATCATATTTAAAAAATCACATCCATTAAGAATAGCCTTTCCTTTTAGAGAAAATACACCAATGAACTTTATCATTTAAAGCCCTACTGGAATTGGTTATGTCACCCTCTTAACCCTGTAACAATGAACCTTGCTTAGTTAGGAATAAATATCAAGACCTGATCTTGCTCTGAAAAAAAGAAAATTTCACTCCATCTGTGAATCCTAAGGGTGCTCCCAAAAGTTCATAAAAACATAATTTGTGGACAATTCAGTGACAGATTTGTTTTACTCAAGAAAGACGGAAGCTTAGTAAAACAGTGATTGAGCAAGGTGTTTTACAGGTGTTTCACCGGCCCCTTTTCAGGGTCTCCCAAGAGAAAACAGCAGGGTGAGAAAGTCAGACAAAATAAAAATCAATGTACTACAAGCAAACTTAGGGTGTAAAAGTCAGGCATTATGTTTTCACAGTACAGATAATACAAATTAATAGCATTTAAAGTTGGTAACCTTTACTCAAGAATCTTGCATTTTACCCACACATCAACTAGCACCATGAAGTGTAAAGGTGTTCCTGTTAACAGCATCCCATGCCCATACAACTAAAAACCTTCATAGGCTATACGTTAGTTTATAAATTCCTTTGAAAGCTTTTTGTGGTAATGAATCCTACTTTTCAAAATTGTACAGCGTCAGGAACACATTTAGTAAAAAGGCCTCTATTTGAAATGAAGGAGCACATTTGTTAGAAAAGCCAAGAGTCAAAGTAAAGAATTTTTACTTTTGAGTTTAACTAGAACATTTTGTATAGTTTAACTATACAATTGTATAGTTCAGTGGGGAGAAAAAAATAAAAGAGTAGTATATAATTTATGTTCTCATTTATAGAAAAACGTGCCTCTTTATATACTAAAATTGTACATATTGCTATCACCATCACCTCCCCTCACTCCCAATATTCCTTTTCTCCAACATCACAATGTTTTCTTTCTCAGCGTGAAAACTTCTGAAAAGCAAAAGAAGAGCCATTATAATAGCTCTTTATCATAATAGTGAATTATAGCTCCATTTGAACATCGAAATGCCTACAAGGAGAACTACACAGTGACATATGGTCTCAAGGAATGTCTAAATTGCACTTTAGTTCCAGTTAGAGAATTACTTAGCATCCTATTTCAAAGATTACATCATACAAACAAATATTGTTATGACTGACTAAGCCTCAACAAAAGAGATTGGCCATACTTTGCTAAAATGCACTTAAGATTTACGTCACTGTACTATACATGGTTTCGACTTTGGGGGAGAAGTCAGAAAAAGTGAGTCTGTATATTAATGCTAATAACCTACCAAATTTATATGAAAAGAAAGATGTTTTTTTGGAAAACAAATTTCAGACTTTATAAGAAAAGTTTTAAATCATGTTTTTTCAAGGTATCATGCAAATCATAGAATATCATCAGTATATTGTGAGTGACCTTCACATTAAAAATAAATAAGTCATTTTCTTTCTTTTCATTAAAATAGCAACATCATATTTAAATCCATTTAGTTTCATAAATTACTTTTCTCACCTTGACTATTTACCAACTTATATAAGCCTTTAGTAAACTCAGAACTATTCTAAATTTTAAAATCTCAGCCTCTTTTAAAAAGCTGATGAAGTGAACATGAAAATAAGTCATTCCAACTTCAACTTAACATCTTGTAACTTCATATTCTCCTCTAGAACTTCTATACTGACTCTTTAATTCCTTTCATTCTGTGCATTCAAACGCTAAATATAGGTACTTTTAAATGGCTCTAGATATTTAATTTTTTCTTTAAGAAATGGAGATTTTAGTTGTATAATCATAGGCATTATAGTTAATGTTCTGGGAGTAGCTATGTGATTCATTGTCAAAATTATTTTTATAAACATCTAACTACCACAAAACCTTAAAGTCATTCCAGAGCAATAAACACACTAGATAGTGAGAGGGAAATGGAGTTGCAGTAAGACACTGTACCCCACCTCACCCCACCCCACTCCCCCCAAAAAATATATAAAAGGAAAACTCTTGAGTTTTTCAGTTACTAATTGACGACTGTCAGTACTACCTGCAATTTTATTTTGCTTTACTGGATTTCCTGAAGCTCTATGTTCATTATTTTTCACAAATGCAGATGGGCCACCACCATAAGTGGACTCAATACCAACAAAGATCGAACTTGGATTACGAAATCCTAGAAAGGTGGTGTGAGAGCTAATCGCAAAAGAGCAAACAAATGAACTGAAACGCTACTTGCTCCAGCGCAACTATCATTAAATAAAAGGTATCTTTGGCTGTAGTACCAGTTTGATCATCCATCCCCCAGTCTCCTTGCTACTGCGGGATTGGCACCGGGCCAGCACAGGCGACATGATACCCTAGTGCCACCTATAGGCTGTTATTGACACTCGACTTTCGTTGTAACAGACAAGCACCAGTGAAATAAATTAGACAGCGCTGCATTTAAATCTTTATTAACAAGGAATTATTAGACCTAAGAAAACTAATTCTGGATTTGGTTGAAATATGAGTTTCTCAGCCTCCTAATCCCTCTTCATATGGCATATTTCACAGTTTAAAATGAGTTATAACAGATCACTTATGTATTACTAAGACGAGAGAGAATATTTACAATGGATTCATTCTTTTCAGTTATATCAGGGAGAAAGCATTCCTTTTTTTTTTCTTTGAAAGAGGACTTTGGCCATTGTGGACAATCTGCAAAGCTTTCTATTCAATACCCAGTTTACTATATTACAATAAAATCATCTGAAATCAAAGAGTAGACTTGCTCTATGGCTTAGGTGCAATCTATCAACAATCATGTGCTTCACAGCTGATTTACATTTAATATTTTACTATCTTGTTTAGAGACTAAAAAAAAAATTAACCCCTTTAGCAACCACAGCTCCAACATCACCACAATCAGGCCTTCAAACGTCATTTAAAACTTGAGATTTGAAGGTGACTTTTTAGGTCAAAAGGTAATGTGAAAATCTTGAAGCAGTCAATTTGGAAACCCCAGGAACAGAATTTGGCATATCAGCACAGGTTTTCTTCTTCAGCAAACATTTTCTCCGGACATTTTAGAATAATTTCTGCTTTTCATCTTTTGAAGGGAACTGAGAAGTTAAATAAGTCTCAGGACTTAGAAATTTCAAAGCTGTTCTAAAAATTCTTGACTGAGCCCCAGAGGACTAGAAAAGGGGTCAAGTTTTTTTTTTTTCCCTCTTTATAACTAAGCTAAAGTTAGACCAAAACAATAGATACACTGGCACGTTAATACTGGTTGACTGGGCACTTGTATGCAGTACTTATAGACCAGTAAAAGTGCTCGTTTACCTGTCTGGTGTGTAAGGGGCCCTTTGTCTTGAAGCCTCCTTGGGAACTGCACTCTGAGGCACTGAAGTGATCGGAACTAGTGGAAGAGCGTTTGGAAAGGGTGTCACAACCCCCGACAAAGGTGTTGTCCAAAGGGAGTTCCTGAATCACGTGATGCTTTTTCACGGAAACTGGAGTGTCTGGTTTCAGATGAAAAGCAGGCTGTGGAGAGGCAGATTTGTAGTGCTTGGCCAGGTCAGGGCTGTTAGGCTTGAAGGTGGTCGGAGGAGCGGGACCCCAGTCAAATCTTCCTATACTTTGCTCCTCTAGCTCGGCAGGCAGGCTTATGGTCCCATTGATAGGTTCGTGAACTGCGTCATCAGGTTTGGACTCTTCAATTGTCACAAAGTTCAAAAGAGAGCTCTTGGGAGACTTTCTTTTCTTCCTTTTCTTCTTCTTATTCTGTTTGTTCTCCTGGTTTGGGGACATCCATTCAGCCCCTTGCTTGCTCCTCTGAGCGGCTTTGAACCTGGATGCATGGCGACAGCGCACCAGGACGGTGATGAAGATCACGACTATGACCACCATGGCCCCTGCGACGATGGCGATCATGATGGTGAGATAGTCCTCATTTTGATAGGGCTGGCTACTGTCCCCTATGTTCCTGTCCAATGGGGTCTCCATAGTCCTGCGAATCAAGTCATAGATGTAGGAGGCATTTCCAGCAGTGTCATTAACGTAAAGAAAAACCAGCACAAGTGTGTGCAGAGACTTAGGGTACCCCAGGTCACTGATGTTGACCACCAAACGGTGCAAGCCCACATCAGTCGGTGCCGGTTTTTCTTCCAGGGTAATGTTACCTGTGACTGGGTCAATCCGAAACAGGCCTTTGTTGTTCCCACTCACAATTGTGTACTTCAGTTCAGCGTTCATCCCGGTGTCAATGTCCACTGCAAAAACCTCTGCTACCACAGAGCCAGGAATGGCTGAGAGAGGCACCAGCTTAAAGGAAGTGTTAGACGGTGGAGAAATGACCACTGGGCTATTGTCATTGACGTCCATGACATTGATAGTTACTTTCGCAGTGGAGGAACGGGGCGGTTGCCCCCCATCAGTGGCTTTGACATCAAAAGTGTAGGAACTCTGCTGCTCTCGATCAAATGAGACATTTGACTTTATGACTCCGGAATAGGGATCCAACACAAAATTATCATTGTCATTGAGAATGGACAGAGTCACAGCTTTATTCTCACCAGCATCTGCATCTGTCACTGTGATGACCCCCACGGTGCTATACTTTGGCAGATTCTCAGACACAAAAAATTGAAAGTGATTATGAGTGAACTTGGGGCTATTGTCATTCTCATCTAGGACAGTAACTATCACAGCCGCTTGGCTTTGGAGGGGAGGGGTCCCATTGTCCCGGGCAGTTACTGTAAAAATGAATCGTTCTTGTTCCTCTCTGTCAAAGACTCTGGAGGCTGTCAAAACGCCTGTCTTTCGGTCCAGATCAAAGAAGGAGGCATTCGGTCCAAGCTGATAAACAATATCTGCATTTTTCCCACTGTCTTCATCTGTGGCACTAATAGTTGTTAAGTATAACCCACGTCGGTTGTTTTCAGAAACTGACAGCTCAATTACAGGCTGGTTGAAAATTGGTGGGTTGTCATTTTCGTCCTCAAGCTTAACCCTTACCAGGGCAGTCTGATTTAAACTGGGCTTCCCAGAATCAGAGGCAATGATTTTAAAGCTGAACTCTTTGGTGCCCTCATAGTCCAACAAAGAGGAGGTCTCTAACAAATACTGGTTGTCATAGACTGCCTTCAAATGAAATGGGACCTCTCTTTCAATGAAACAGATCACTTTGCCATTCACATCCGTGTCCTTATCTGAAACTGTAATTAGGGCAATCTTGGTATTGACAGGATCTTTCTCTGATAAATACACTGTGCCATTGATGGGACTTATAATGTACCTGAGGTCTATGTTAGGAGGGTTGTCATTTACATCAGTCACATTGATGGTAACGGTTGCCCGAGCTGGAGTGGAGCTGCCATCACTAGCCAGCACTGTCACTTTGTGAATGGCTGTCTCCTCTCGATCTAAGGACCTCTGAACTGTAATCAGCCCAGTAGTGTTATTTAAAGCAAAGAGTCTTTTGGTAGCCGGGGCGACCTGGGCGCCAAAAATGTACCGGATTTCAGCATTACTGCCTATGTCTGCATCAGTGGCGTGGAGCTGAATTACAGAGGTGCCTACGGGAGCATTCTCTGGAATATGGACCTCCACTTGACCCTCCTTAAACACTGGCCTGTTGTCATTTACATCACTTACTGTGACCTGCAGGATGGCCGTGCTGGATTTCTGAGGAGTGCCTCCATCCTCTACTTTGATTTTCATCACATAGGTATCTTTCTGTTCTCTGTCCAAGTTTTGCTGAACAATCAATTGTGGCCACTTCTCTCCCTCCGGAGTTTCCACGATATCCAGTCCAAAAACACTCTGCCCGTTTAACAATTCATAATGCTGTACACCATTGAAACCTGTGTCAGGGTCTGTTGCTGATGGAATTGGAAAGCGGCTGTTGATCAAAGTGTTTTCTGGAATGGAAATATTGATGACAGGAGATGGAAACATGGGGGCATTATCATTGGTATCCTTGACGATTATTTTTATTTTGATCAGCCTGAAAAAATCATTGGGGAGGATCACCACCTCAAGTTCAAAGAAACACTCATTCTCCTCAGCATAAGAGGCTCCAGCACAGAGTTTTTCTCTGTCTATTCTATTAGAGGTTGTGAAAATCTCCCCAGTGCTGCTGGACACTTTCACCAAAGGAGCATCCCCAGCTTTAGAAACCAGTCGGTAGACGAGGCTGGCACTGGTCCCTGTGGCAGCATTGATGTGAGAAATGTTCAGATCCTTTGGTATGTTTCCTATGGGCACATTTTCAGGCAATTCCTCTCTAATAGTATAAATAAGTTCTTGAGCTATTGCAGAATCCAGCCTTAAACAGGCAATCAGAGCAGCCAACAGGTAAAAATCCCTCAGGTCCATGATAATGTATTTATTTTCTTTTCCTGGATTTTAGGGTTTAAAGGTTCCCACTGAGGAATGCTGCACGAATTGCAAGAGGAAGCGTGCATGGACGGGAGGATGCATTACATCTCATCGCTTATTTGGAGACAGCCACTGTCAACACAATTGTATAGACAATATTATTCTTCAGTAAACAAAAACACACAGTCACGAAACAGCACAACACATTTTCCACTGCATACTAGTAAACATGGCATTTACTCTGCCACTGTTTGCAAGTTAACTCTGTGGATGAAAACAGTCGGTATCCCCTGCTTGTTGCATTTGCCTGGAGAAAATGAAATTATCTACTTTTGAATTCAGGACAGCTGCTATTTTTACCTGTATTCACCCACACTGGTTTTCAGGACACTGTTTAATTCAAAACATGCATTCTTGTTCTCCTCTTCCCCTCCCCCTGGCTTACCCGCCTTCTGGCTTCTAACCTACCTCCCTTAGTTTTTTTTTTAGGTACAAGTGAAAAACACTAAGTATTTAGCTATGGTTCCTGCTAACTGCTTTGTCACATGTCAAATATGATGTGTTTTCTTCTCTGCCACACTGAGTCATCTCTTTTTTCTAAAAAAACTATCTTCTTCCCTCCCAGTTCGTCAACTGCCTTTGAATACAATCTTACTGGGAAGCAAGCATCGGACATTCTGCTGCAGCAGCTTCAGAAGCAATAGTCACCGGCCACTACACGTCCTCGTTGCCTAAAAGCACAACACCAAGACTTCAAATGTCTTATCCAGACCTCACTCTCATTTCTCCATATTGCCAAATTATCCCCATTAGAATTCACAAACACATGAAAACTTTACAAAATAATAATATAGGATTCCTGATCCTAGAGGTGGAAAGAGTGTGGAGATGTAAGTGAAATGCAGTGACATTTCCATGTAACAGCACAATATTTTTTACAGAGCCTAAAACAAGAAGAAAAAAAAAGCAGTTTCTTAACCCTGATCTTCTGGTTATAATATTAGTAACGTCTGCCACACATCAATACTGCAACCCAATAATGCAGGTAAAAAGGCTTCTGCTTAGACGCTCCCCTAACTGCAATTGAAACCGGTGCAAGGCTCCAGGCAGCTCCCCACTTGAGTGGAACTGGTCAGTTCCCAGGCTCTAATCTTATCTGCATTAGGCTGCTCAGTAGCTGATGCCCGTGATTAGTTCCGGCAGAGTGATGCAGGTAGGGATGCAGATACAGCCGAGTAGGTGAGCTGTGCCCCAACCGTCTACCCAATTAAAAACATCCCTCGTCTACACTGAAGACACATCTAAACACAGAATTTACAATTGTGCATGCGAAACTTTACACTTACGTTAGTTGCCTCAACCTTTCCCCTTTCCCAGTATGCTGCAGTTAGGAATGATTTGTTCCAACACATAGAAAGCCATGCATCTGGTAGCACCAGTTTGGGGAGAAATCAGAAGCAGCAAAACGTTTCCTCCTTGTGAAATGTGTTGCTTCGGGCTGGCAAATTAGCAACTCCAGAGAACAAATTCACAGATTTGTCGTTAGTCATTCTCTCCACATCTCGTGTCTATTACCACGGGGTCTGGGCTCTTCTGGTATTTCACACATAACAACATCCAGTTGCACTTCTTCAGCTCAGGGGTATTTTCCACAGCATCAGGCATACCATTTCCCTCCGATGTCAAGACTGCTTAAGTCTCTAACTTCTTGTAGGAAACATCAGAGTTGGGATGATGGTGAGTCTCTGGCTGCTCTCCGGAGTGACAGTTGCCAGAAAAATTCCTAATCCGTTATCCCTTTCCTGTTTCAGAGACTCTAGGGCGCTCCTTCCTGTCTTATTTGCTCTCCCTCTCTCGCTTCTCCTCTGCCCCTCTCTCCTTCTCCCTCTCCTCTCTCTGAACTGAATTTCTTGATATAACTCTCAATAAGCCCAGAGGGAGGGCGTGACAGTCGAAGCCCCGCCCCTGACCCCTGATTGGCCCGCATCTTGCGGTGCGCGCTGCAGCCGGACGCGAGGGAGGGGGCGCAGAACAAGGCGCTGACTGTCTCCCAGCCTCCCTTCCTCAGCGCCCCCTCGGCAGCCACGAAAACACGGAGAAGCGATCCTGTCCCCGGGAGAGCCTGGTTCCAGCCGGCGCACTGAGCATGCTCAGCAGGGTCCGCGGGGAGGGAAGCACCGGCGCTCCTAAGGCTGTCACGGAACCAGCTGTCGCAGGCACGCGAGCGGGGCTGGCGGCTGCTCTGTGCGGCTCAGGACAGCGAACGCCGAAACCCGGGCGGTGGAGCAAGGGCAGTGCTGGAGGCAGGCGGGGCGTGCGGGCGCGGATCCCGGGAACCTCCGGCACCGCGGCGGCCCGATGGGGACGCTCAGGGGACTCGTCGCTGGGCGCACGTTTCACACATGCCTTTGCTAAACGGAGGGGCCAACATGCAAAGATGGGAGTCCACCCAGGGTCCAAGGCACACACTGTCACCCCCCGGAAGGAGCAAGGGCCAGCAGATATCCCTGGAGCATGTTCAATGGACCGCACGCCGGGTGCTGCAACTGGAAGCTTTTGCTGACTGGGACCTTGCCAAGCAGGGCGGAGAGGGCGGATAGCGAAAGGTCGGGGCAGAGAACATTTGAATCTGAATTCTGGGCGGAAAGAAAATTAGAGCGCTCGCTGCCTGCAGTGTAAAGGCAGCTGCCGGGGAAAGGGGCAGCGGCAGCCTCTGGGATCCCCTTGGTCGCCCATGGGCAGTCTTGGGTGCGGCGCCAAGTCTCGTCTGGTGAGCAGCGGCAACTGAACGCGGCTGTCTTTGCACTTCTGCGCCCGCCGCGCCTCGGAGCCTGCACCCCCGAGCTGGCCGGGTCAGGCGGCTGCAGCGACCTCGCTGCCAGCTCACCTAGCTGCAAACTTTGCTTGCGGAAGGCTGGAAGGAGTCCCGTCCAGCTAGCTGCTCCCCAAGCTGTGGAACATTTCCTTTCCCTTTGCACTTTCTGCTGATTCCGACATTACACATGACACTTGTTTTTCCCTGTGCACTGCATTTCTCTGACTCCAGCTCTGTAGCGTAGCCTCACTCACGTTTCTCATTTTCATACAAGAGCCGGATGGAATGACTCCCGAAAGGATTAACCTCACTCCTTAAATACTGGCCTGGAAAGCACTATCCATATGTGATCCTTTAAAATCAGTAAACAACGAAGGTTTGCGTAATAGGTTGTGCCTACAACTCCAGATATTTGAGGAGTCAAGTTTGAGGCTTTAATAACAGTTCACTTGGAACAAATATATATATTTGAAT